CATCAAATTGGCAGCGGTTCCTTTTTGAGTGTGCCCTCGTTGGGGTGGTTTGCTTCCCGTTGGAACCACCAGGAAGCCACACATTGCAGGGTTCGTCCTTGCTTTCCGGAGGAAACACCAGGGATTTGGCTGTTGACGGGTGTCAAGGTTCAAGGAACGCTTTTCATGATGAAGCTACTGCCAGCCGCACTGAGGCTGCGATTTCTCACAACTTTTCACCCAGTGACTTGGCGGGGCAAGGTGGGCTTGCCTGGACAACCACCAGGATTCGAGACTACCCACGGTTCAGCGTGCTGGGTGTCGGAAACAATGTACCCACGGTTCAGCGTGCTGGGTGTCGGAAACAATGTGGACCCACGGATGAATCAAGCCGTCGGCATTGTTGGGGCAGGGTGGGTGGGTGGGTAGGGGAGGACTTTTGCGGTCCCCTCTGAGCTGGAACTCCCCCAATTAACAAGGGTTGATTCATCCACCTTGAATACTAGGGTTTGCCAACTTGTTGTGTGACGAGCAGGCAACCTCTGTGCTACTCCATTGTCTAGTGGCGGTGGCTGAGGTTCGCCTCAGTCGATGTTCTCCCGAGCAGGGCGGAGTCTGTGGGCGCGTCGCTGGGGTGGGCAGGACTCCGACGAAGGCCAGAGCCGAGCTCGCGACAGCATTCCGCATGGGGCTGGAAGTCCTTCGCGGCTACATGGCCGTGGGTCAAAACCAACAGCACCATTTTGCGCACCACCCGGTTGATTCTATTTTGGTTGGGAGTTGGATGTTCTCTTGGGGTACATATTTTTGACCCATCGCCACATGGCTCACAGATTGATGGGACAGTTTGCCCTTTCGGGGTTGCCCCTCGCACCCCAGAAGTCCCAATGCCGCCTGCACACCGCGCAGGCAACGAGGTCAGGGCCTTAGGATCCCAGGATCTGCGCAAAGGGTCGCTGCGGCGCTTTGTCGTGCTGGTGCAATAGGCAGGCAATGAGGGAATGATCCCAATAAACAATCCCTTGTGGTTTCCGTTAAGGGGATCAGCACCAGCACGGGCCCGACACCTACCTTTTCTCGCACAGGCCGCTGCCTCGCGAGAATCGGCGGATGCGGGCTTCGCTGCTCGCAAGTGGAGTGTCGGAGTGAGGAGCGGAGGGCGCGGGAGGCATTTCATCCAGCACCTGGTCCGATACGTGCGTGCGACTGTGCCACTGAACCATTTCATATTCCCTTATGTGGTGCGTGCCCCAAGGATGGAGTGATTTTGAATATGGCAGCCCAGCTCCAAAACTGCCGCATGTGGCACAAAGACTAAGGCTGATCCGGTTGTCCCGTTCATGGCCTCGGTTGGTTCGGGGAAATGAGCGAGCTGGTGGTTGGTCGGAAGGAAGGGCTTGATTACAAGCGCCAGCTGTAGTGTTCAACGTTTCGTTGAGGGTTGTCAATTCTGTGTTTAGAGTTTGATGTTCATCGTCCATGTCAAGCTGGAGTCAAGCTGTAAGCTTAGGCTTCGTGTGACCCATTTGTGGTGAGGAACATGGTTTGCCATTGATCCTAAATGCTGGAAACTGCAGTGTGCACGCGAGTTGCTTGGCAGTGGGTCCAACATACATGCCTGAACGGCCCACGCCGCTCCTGAATGTTTCAGAGGCCTTCAGCTTTCATTGGGTGATAGGGCAAGATATTTGGGCCATACTCATTTTGCAACGTGGGGGATGTGTCGATGCTTCGCTGTCATGCCCCCATGCAGTGGCGCGCCATGTCCCGTGGTGCCTGTTTCCGAAAAGCCGGTGCGCTGCTGACACAAGCGAAAACAAACACGTATGGGCGGCATCTCTTCCCAAGCCATGCTCTTTCTCCCTGGCTGATTCGCCTAAGAAGCCACGGCAGCGCCTGCTTGCACGGTGCACTTGGCCAGGACATTGCTCCAGTTGAATGATGGTGGCATGTCTGCAGAAGCTAGAGATTACAGGGATTTGACAAAGTCGTGCCTCCGTTTGAGGCGCTTGAACTCCATGAGAAGTCGTGCCTGTTTCCAAAACGCATAGGAACTCTGCATGTTTGAAGGGATAGGCTTTTGGGAGTCATTGCGGTTGAACATGGTTATTTCGTTGGGTTTAGGATGGTTTAGGCATGTTCCATCTTATACGCCAAGGAGCGTTTACAGTGAGACATGACTTCTCTTTTGCTACAGCTGGTTCGAGTCGGCACCTTGCTTTCCCTCCCACCTGGACTAACCTGGTGTGTGTGCAGGGATGAGCGGGTGCGCTTGAGCGGGGGTGCTTGCCATTTGGCTGGCGTATGTGCAGCGCCGAGCTGGTGCGCTGGAGCCGGGGTGCTTGCCATTTGGCTGGCAGGTGTGCAGCGCTGAGCGGGCGGCGGTGCAAGAGCCGGCAAAGGCAACCCATCGTATCATGTCTTCCTAAACTCTCCTGCAACAACTTATCGTATGCTTAGCGTTCCATTGATTTTCATGTTCCTGAGGACGCCTCGCGGGGCTGGAAAACATGCTTTGTCAGAATTAGCGTTCCATTGTGTTTCAGTGTTGACACCTGTGTGTTTCAGCATGGTCAGCTGCTTTCCATGGGAATTGTTGCCAACGTCGAGGCGGCTTAGGAGTGACTTCTTGGAATGGGCGTTTAAATGGGGGAACGGGAGTGGCTTAGGCATGACTTTGTCGTTTGCCTGTACCTTTGGACCCTCTTTTTTGGGGGCAGAGATGGCGGACTGTAGAGACCCTAAACCAAGGGTAAACAACCGAAAGCAAACCCTAAACAAACCGTGGACAAACTGCACACGCGCCCCAATCCCACCCTACCACCCTGAAGACGCCTCAAAGTCACCCCAAAGCAAGCCACCACACAGAAGAAGAAACAGAAGCAGAAGAAGCAGAAGAAGAAGAAGAAGAAGAAGAAGAAAAAGAAGAAGAAGAAGAAGAAACAACAAACCTCAAACACACCCGACACCATAGCCTCGAGTGGTTTTGAACATGATGCTAGGGGTGTTCACAGTATGCTAGTCTATGCTAGGAATGTTGATGGGGAGCAATTGCGTGCACATGTGTTACAGGCTTGGGGCACCGCTGGGGATTTCATGTTTCTGTTGATGGGACGGGTGGGCTCTGCCTGACCACTTGTTCCCTGTCAAGGTAGGAAGGGGAACAAATTTGGGACTTATCGGTGCCCACCGCCGTTTCCCAGTGAGTCCCAATCCTTGCATCTTGGTTGTTTTGGCCAAGATGCAGGTTTGACTTGGATCAAACGTTCAGGATCGCCTTGGGGACATGTCAGGGGCAACAAGCCCTTTGACACATCTGGGGGTACCTGCCCACAAATGGTCGCCGTACAAACAACATCGAGAAAGCTGCATTGAGCCGAAGGCCATGGGCCAAGATATATCTAAAGAGGCTGGGGTCTGTTTGTTCAGAAAGTCTGGGAAAAAGGTAGGAGCAAGCTAGAACACGCACATGAGAAATGTCATTTCTAGCCAAATTCCGAGCTGCGGTCGCCTCAAATGCCAAAAAACCCTCAGTTAGAGAGGGATGCAGGAGGATCAGGGAGGGCCTGGGTGGTTTCCCAGTCAAGATTCTATGCTCCTCGTAGCACTGTCTGAGGTTCCTACAGTCATTGGCTGTCCTTCTCTGCCTTGTCCAGCGTGTTGCTGACCGTTGCTCGGACGGGAGATGTTCGGTGCTGGGTTCGGAGCGGTTTACCTGACATGGGGCTGCCTTGTGTAAGTGACTTTTCCCCACCTGAAATGCAGGTTTGGGGTTGTTAGACTTTAAGTGACGGCCGACCTCCCACCCCAACCGCGCCACCGCCCAACCAAACCGGCAGACCCTACTTCCCCGGCGTATGACGAACTCTTTCGACCGACAGCGGCGACAGAGCCTGTGACAGACTGCAATGGAAGAGAGGCACGGCAGCCGTGACAGTCCGAAGCCCGGGGCTCCGGCCATGGCTGGTCCCTCGAATCTGTAAAAGGGAATCCCCACCAGCGTGATTTCGGTACAGCTAAGGCTTAGCCTGCTGTTGGTTAAGCGTATCACATCAGACAGCGGCAGGCTTGAAACGCGAAAGCAGTCCGATTGACCTTTTGGTACCAGTGTGATTTCAGAGGTACCTTGGTCAAGCAAGCTTTCTTTGGGATTGTTCGAAGTAAATCGTTTGCATTTTTTGGCTTTGGGGTGGGATGGGGATGTTTGAGAGCCATAGGGTGCAGTTGTTTGGGCCATAGGGCCAGAACGAGTGGCCGAGCCAGGTGACCGCGCTCTACGCGGTGTTCCTTGCGCCCCGCGACGACGCGGCCACCATCGCCTGGCGTATGACCCGGCCACAGCGGCCCTCGGAGGAGCTGGGGTGCAGCACGGCGACTGGTTGCGTTTAACCGGGCAGGGGCGCAGTTGAAACACGGGTTTGATCATGTTTGAAGCAGGGGTGGGCCGAACTGTGTTGCACCCCACGAGCCAAACATCTACTTGGTGTGCAGGGCTCACTTCATTCACTGGGCGGACTCACCAAGACTTTGGGAGAGTTCCTCTTACATGTGCTCAGGCTTGGAGCGTTATGAATGGTTTGCCTGTCGAAGCTGAGGTTGACCATGTCGGCTTCTACGCAATTTTGATCGCTTCCGCGGTTGCAGGCACGGACAATCGGGGGAAGGGAGAGCCTCTGTCCCACATGGAGCCCACCGGAGGATTCGCCAGTGTGTTTTTTCAGAAGGACACCCCCCAATACGTCCAGCCGCTATTTTGACATACCCATTTAGCCTTTCCGGTGCCCAGACACGCAGAGTTGCGTGGGCCTCCAGGCACCGCAGCCTGCCTGATGTACCAAAATGCCGGCAGCTCCTCGCACATCCTCTCGGCCGCCGGCTGCTTGGCAAGTGAAATTGCCATCGGCGTGGGATTTATCATGGTGAGGAGGCTGGAGGCTTTCCCCAGTCATCCCAAGAGCCCTGGTAACCAACCGTGGGTTGAACTTCCAAGCGAACTTTTTTCGGGGTGAAAAGCTTCCCAACCTGCGAAGCCCTGACGAGCTCACACGGTAAGCAATGTATGGGAAAGCGCCCCCAATGCACCCTTCCGCATAGATGTCCCCTCCCCACAAGGTTAATGATGTATGGAGGGGGGCCTTCCGCGATACAGGAGGGTCAGGTCCCCGACGGCGCTCAGTCAATTCGCACGCGAGTTGTTGGCGTACCCCGAGTGCTTTTTGCCAAAGTTTTCTCCAAGGGGATGGGGGCAGCGGGTCACAACCACGACGGTCCTTTCTTGAGGATGTCTTTGCCAAAAACCATTTCCTCAGGTTTTGCTGACAAACATTCCACATCAGAGCGCCTCGAGGCATCTTGACGCGCAAATGGTTGCACATTCCTTTGCGCCAGGTTCGTTGCTGCGAAGATTTGAACCGGCAAGAAATCCTTTTTCACCCCAAGAGTGCTCCTGAGTTTTGAAAGGGCTGGGACTTGGTTGCTGCCCATGTAGAGCCACAGCCAGTGGGCCTCGTCGCGTCCCAGGAATTGATTGTTCCTGGACCCTAAACTTCTTGAAGGACTCTAGACTTCTTGAAGGACCATTTTAGTGGTAAACCAACAGTGCAGACTTTGTGTCCCCAGTCCACTCGGTCGGAAGTGAGTTTTGTTTGCCGGCAGGTTACGCGCTGCTGAACTGGTTCCAGGGCATGGTGGGTGCTGTGCTGCCGGCCCACGAGCGCGCGAAGAGCGGGTGTGCCTACGGCATGCTGCACCAGACCTTTGCACCACAGGATGCGGATTTCGGATTTTGGCTGTGGGTCAAAACCACCGGTACCATTTTGGGGTAGGTGCACTCATTTTGGTCTATTTTGGTGGGGATTGGGATGTTCACTGCAGGGTACGGGATTTTGACCCATGGCCATTTGGGTCGCCCGATTTCGAGTGGTCCTTTGCACCGCGCGTGAGAAACCCTTGGGGAGGGGGGGGGGGGCAACAGGCCCCAGGCGAAATTAGGTCCTTTTGAGGTCTGGCAGGCGTGTCCCAAAAAGTGGCGAACAGAGCACTTGGAACTGGGCCGATGGTCAGCCGGCGTCGCCCACTTGTTCAATCTCATTTTTTGCCCTTGGTGGGGGCTCAATGGGGCTCATCTGGCCAGTGACCAATTGGTTAAATACTGCAATAGCAACAAAACACAACGTTTCCTCTTTGATGCTGTGGCTCTTTCGGCAGGAGTTGAGCAATTACGACGACAACGACTATTATAAAGAGCCGCCTCGCTTGTATCAGCTGGGCGTGGGCTGGGGCCTGATCTTGGCTTGGGGCGCGACTATAGGGCCAGGGATTCGGGAGCTCAGGGGCCATAGGCCAGGACACCAGCGCCTGAAGGTACTACGGCGTCATCATCGTACGGACCCTGCTGTTCCTCGCTGGGCTGATTTGGATGCAGCACTTGATGGTGAGGAGGGCGCCTTGGCCTGCGAAAAAGCACGCTCAGCTTCGGTATCCGCAAGCCACTGCCTACAAGGGAGGATAGGAGATACAGCCTATCTTTCCTGGGCGTAGTGGTAGTGGAAGCCGTCTCAGATTGCTATTTGTTCTGTTTGTATACTGTGTCGCTTGCGGGCTTCACTTTTGGCGTGCAGACGTGAAGCATAGCACAGGCACATACGCAAACACACACACAAACACACAAACACACAACACACACACACAAACACACACACAAACACAAGCACAACACGCGCACACAAACACAACACACATACACAAACCAACCAACCAACCAACAAACCAATAAACCAAACCAAACCAACCCAACCCAACCCAGCCCAACTCCACCTCAACCATAACCCAACCCAACCCAAAACAAAGCAATCAAACAAACCAACACACAACCACATACACAAACAAACAAACAAACGAACGAACGAACAATCAAACAAGAAAAGAAGCAAGCGCACAAACAAACACACAAACAAACACACAAACAAGCACACAATCAAACACACAAACAAACACACAAACAAACACACAAACAAACACACAAACAAACAAACAAACAAGCAAGCAAGCAAGCAAGCAAACAAACAAACAAACAAACAAACAAACAAACAAACAAAGAAACAAGCAAGCGAACAAACAACCAACCAACCAAACAAACAAACAAGCAAGCAAGAAAGCAAGCAGGTAAGCAAGCACGCAAGGAATCAGGCAAACAAAGCCAACCAACCAAACAAACAAAAGAAAGAAGTGCATACACACACACACAAACACAACCATACAAACACACAAACAAACCATCAAAGAAGCAAGCAAGCAAGCAAACAAGCAAACAAACAAGCAAGCAAACAACCAAACACACACACACAAAACACAAACACACAAACACACAAACGCACTGCAACAAACACACACGCAAACAAACACGCAAACACACAAAAGCACAAACACGCAAACAAACACACAAGCAACAAACAAAAAGCAAGCAAGCAAACAAGCATACAAGCAAACAATTAACCAACTTAAACAAACACGCCAACGCGC